GGAAAATAGCTACAGGAGATCCTTCGTTATGGGCACGAGTGATGAGGAGCAAATATGGCCGAAACATGGAAGGGTTACAAAAATTGAGGAATACAAAGGGAAGTTCTTTTGCTTGGAGCAGTTTCGTTAAAACTGCAGACCTCTTGCGCAAAAGTGCTGCTTATAATGTTAAAAATGGGCAAAACTAAATTTTGGATCGATTCTTGGATTTTGAAGGTGCCTTTTGGTGGAGCTGGCCGTGACAGCGATCTCTTCAACCCATCTAGAGAAGAGAGTGGCAGACTACTGGGACGTGGCAGGAGGCTGGAAGATGGAGGATTTTGAGGCTTATCTTCATGTTACAAACAAGATCAGAGTAGTGCTTTTAGACCCCATCATAGTGTTAGCACTGTTAAAAACTTTTTTAGGGTGTAATGATAAGTGGTAACTAACCCTTCCCTTCCCCTCTGTTCTGTCCCATCTCTCTCCTTCCCCACTGTTCCATCACCCATCCCTTTTTCCATACCCACCAGTCTCCCGCTCAGCCCGAGGAAACCTTTTACCTAGTGAATGTGCAAAGTTTCTTAGGCTGTTGCGACCATTCATCTCGCTGGAATTCCATCATCGTTGGCCTCTGCGCTAGCAATCGCTCCACTTGTTCCCTTTAGAACACTCGGTTTGTGTGCAAATTTATAATTCTTGCTGCATGCATCTGCCTCTAGCTGGCTCGATTCAACGGCGGTACTCTTCCATTGATGGAACGAGAGTCATGCAAATGGGAATCGAAGCTGCTGATCAACTAAGACTATTAGGTAGAGGGGACTAAGTGGTGGTCGTTCAATTGGTAATCGGGATAATCTTGGTGAAGAAAGTTATTCGGAGAGACTAGGTAGAGATGACTTGTGCTCTCGACAACCTCACTTTCACGTGCAACAGGCCCCCTCGTCTTTGGTGCTTCGTCATGATTCCACAGAGGAAACTCTTTCTCCTAATTGACCTTCACGATGACTTCCCTCTTGTCTAAATCTGCCGCTATCCTCCGATCTAAGGGTGGATGTGAGGTAAATAGAGTGTAACGATTTGTCCAAATATGTTCAATTTTACAAGTTAGGGAGCGATTATGGAAGTTGTTTTTTAGACATTACGAAGTGTAAAGACTAAGTGGATATTTTTCATTTGAGTATAAAATTCCCCGCCAAAGGTTGGGAACGCTTATCAACGGATCATTGGTTAGCTGATTCCCACTCTCTCTCTCTCTCTCTCTCTCTCTCTCTCTCTCTCTCTTAATTCTCTAAATCTTATACCCCAAGATCAATTTAATTAGAAACAATAATCGACGGTTATGATTCGTCCAAATATAGGCAAAAAAATCAATGCACCATCTTAGAGTTTAAAGTTTATGATTTAGATAATTAGGACCTAGGGTTCACTCATTAAGGGTTAGGGTATAGTATCATGCCCAAAAATCATGCTAATTCGAGGTCTAGATAGCGTTTTCATACTCAAGGTATGTGGTACCCCAAATTTCATCCGGGGTACCGTTGAAGGCACCATACATATATTCTGTTACGGACCAATCAATTGCCTTCATACATTTTCCTTCACTTTCCGAGCAACCAAACAACCACAAATCGTTGAGAACAGATGCAATCGGTTGAGGTGGTTTCAATTTGGTATCAGAGCCTATTTTTGACAGAATGGGGATGAAGAGGACTGAAGAATGCATGGTTTACCTCACCTATCAACTCAATCATCAATCCGCAACTCTGGAAATGCGAATTGGAGAAGTCAGTGCTCATATGCGAGCTTCTTCATCCATCATGGATGAACAAATGACTGCAAAACGGGAGTGATTTCAGCTCAATGAAACTCAGCTTCATGATCTGCCTACCAGAGTAGAAGGACATTCGCTTCAACTGGCTACTATTACCAAGCGATCGGACGACCTCGATGACAAATTTAATGAGGTGCTGCGACGACTTGACATGATTGGACAACAACGGTTAGTGGTGGTCGTTCCCGGTGCGGAAGGACTGGTGGGAGACCGGAATGATGATTGAGTTATTTCACCTCAACTATTGATCCGAGCAGTTCAACTAGGTGCAGGTTTAATAGCGAGCTCCGTTCCACCACCGGTTATGCCAAATCGAGTTGCGGATCTAGAAAATGTTCCTCGAAATCAAGGTAACAACCAGCCTAATCCTAATCTACCTCGATTGGATATTCCGTCTTTCAATGTCGATAATTCTAGAGAATTGACTCTCAAGTGTGAAAAGCTATTTGAGATATATGTAATCCATAATGATCAATAGGTTAGTCTAGCTACAAGTTACTTTGAAAGGCGCCCTAAAATTTGGTTTGAGGGCTTGAAGGCTGGTCGTAGGGAGCTTGTGTGGGAAGATTTCGTAGTTTTCTTGTCCATAAGTTTTATTGATTGGTCCTATGGTGACATAGTAGGCGAGTTCAATAAACTGAGGCAGAGGGGTTCCTTGTTGGAGTATCAAGAGAAGTTCGAGAAGCTTCGGATGATGAGCTATAATCCAGATTTGGATAAGAGTACTTTATCTCTAGTTTTATTAATGGATTAGAAGAAGAGTTGAGGTCAGTGGTTACCATGATGCAACCTCAAACTCTGGCTCATGCCTTTCAAGTATCCAAACTAGACGATATTTCTAATGAGGCCAGGAGAAAGAAATGGAGGGGTTTGACTTCTTTTAAACATCGCATGGCAGGTGCCAAGCCTAATCCTACGGCTTTCAATAACAGAAACAATTATCCAAAAGGGTCTTGATACAAGTGGGAAGACAAGTACTTCTATGGTCATGTTTGTGATTCCAAGAGGCAATTGAATGCTATTCAGGCTGAAAGTGTAGGAGTTTTTATCTCCGGTGGATTGGAGTGAGGATGAGGAAGGAAATGAGTTGGAAGTGACTATGTAGATCTTGAGCAGTGGTAGTTTGGCCAACTCTTTGGTTATAAAGGGGAAGGTCAGAAAGCACGGACTGTATATCTAGGTAAACACTGGAAGAACACATACCTTCTTACATGAACAGTAAGGTAGCTGAACTTTGATTCCTGCTTCACCTCTAATAGTGAAGTTGGGTGATGGAACTATATTGTTGAGCAGTATGAGTTGTATGGGGTTTACTTGGGAAATGGTTCGGCATTCGTTCACACATGATATCAGGATCTCGAAGTTGGGCTCTCATTATATGGTTTTGGGTTTGGATTGGTTCTGACTGGAGTTGAAGACAATGGCAGCTGCAAGGCAGTGAAAGGAAAAGGATTGCAACAGTTCTTCAAGAAGATCGTTCCTTCTTGCACAAGCCAACTTTTTAGCATCACTGTTGAGGAAGTTCCCAATTCAGGAACTCCAACCATGTTTCTAGGCAACGTTCCACATTTCCTTAAGTCTGTAGTGAATGCATACAAGGATGTGTTTGATAAACTAACTTCCTTACCACCCTCCAGACCCTGTGACCACCAAATACCTCTCTTACCGAATTCCCAACCAGTCAATTTGCGACCTTATAGATATTCCTACCAACAGAAGACTCAGATGAAAAGCCCTTTTGCTTCCCCAGCCTTACTTGTCTTGAAAAATATGGCATTGGAAGTTTTATGTAGACTACACGCAGTTTAATGCTCTCACCATTAAAGGTAAATTCCTTATTTCGTTTGTTGATGACCTACTGGATGAACTAAGAGGGTCAAAATACTTTACCAAGCATGATTTACTATCTAGTTACCACCGGATCAGAATGAACCCTGCAGACCAATACATGACAACTTTTAGAACTATCATGGCCACTTTGAGTTTACTTTTATGCATTTTGGTCTCACCAATGCCCCAACTACCTTCCACTCTATTATGAACCAAATATTTGCCCCCTAACCTAAGGATATTTATCCTAGTGTTCTTTGATGACATATTGACACCACCTGATCTTGTTCTCGATGCTCTGGTGTGCTGGGAGCTATATGAAGCTCGTCGAAGGATTAAAAGAAAGAATCACCAAGTACCAACGGTGCTTGAAAACTGTCACTTATAGATCTTCAAACCTTAATCTGGTATTGTTGTTGTTAAGAATATGGTCGTGGTGATGGAGTCGGCTAGAATTTTGGTGAAACCCATGATCAAAACTGGAAGCATCGAAGCTAACACACCACAACAAACAGCAACAATAACGAGCACAAACAAATCACCAAAATCTCAGTTCGGCTCAGGTTGAGAGACAAGAAGATGCAGAACGAGCGAAAGCTCGATAGAGGCTGGTGTGTAGAGGGTAAATGAGCTTCTAGGGTAATTTGTATGGAAAAATGACTCGGGATCGCTTCCAAAATAAGGGTTCAAAGGGGAGGCAAAAGGAAATAAACTGTCAGAGTTGGAGAGAGATTAGAGGGATTAGATTTGTGTGGTTGAGTTTTATTAAAGTTAAAGGGATAATTCCACTAGGAAGCACAAACTATTCAAAAAGTGTTATTTGTGTCCTAAACTATTCAATATGACATATCTGACACAAACTATTTTTCTGTTAATGTTGACCGGCGCTGACCGTTAGTATTGAACAGATAATCTAGTCAACATTTATGTGTTTTGTGCCAGATTTATCATATTGAATAGTTTAGAACATAAATGTCACGAAATGCATATAGTTTGTGCCAGATTTGTCATATTGAATAGTTAATAGGCAAAATACACTTGCATAGCCATAACTATTCGCGTTGTGACAAATATAACCAGTTTTGGAAAAATACACTCGTATAGCCATTCCGTCCAAAACTATAACGGCAACATTGTAAATGCTAACTATACTAACGTTTTTTTGGTGATGTGGCGATTTTTTTGTTTAAACCAATCCTAGGTGGAAAGTTTTTCCTTTCTTAATAATTTATTATTATAATTGCAATAAAAAGTAAAAATAACAATACATAAAAATGGACACGCCTTCTTCATCTTCTTTTCCCCTTCTTTCCATCTACTCAGGAGACCTATCCGGATCAGCTCTTCCCCGTCGTCCATGCATCCCGTCGGCTGTCGTCGATTGACTCTTACCCAGATTATTTTGTCCCACTTATTAGTAAAACCCCTCCACCATCACTCCAAATCGACGGCGACACCCATAAGCTCATTCATCTTAGCCCAGCGAACAAGAAAATGCATTTTCTATGACCCATCGGAGAAGGGGGAGAAGAGCGGTGGCGGTGGTGGTCCCGAGCTGAAGGAGGTCGTCGATTCGTGGACGTCGACCATCCAGATCTTGCCGCTCGAGAAGTTTTCCTTGGAGCTAGGAGGAGGCCACGGAGTCACCAGTAGCCGAGGAGTCAAGGTCGCCAACTCCAACAATCTCTTCCAGCGCTGCAATTTTCGTGAAGCTCCACGATTTATCCAGACCCTTCCGACTTCTCCATCGCCACCCTAATCGCGGCCGCTGATAATCGGCTTTAATATATCGGATTCTTGAGCTTTGTGTGACTATCTCATGGTATGATTAAACCGATTAGTGATATTTTAGGGAGAATTAATCTGTAATGGTTGAAAAGCCATTACCATTTTTGTGTTGGAGTTTTGGTGTGTGTGTGTGTGTTAGGTGAAAAGATAGATGAAATGGCAGCACTGGAACTTCCGAAGCAAGAGATGGCGGTAGGAATTGTATCCATATTTCTTCCACATCAAATCATTGGGCTAAAGCCCAATTGATGGAGGGACACGGACTGGGCTCAAGGCCCAGCTGGATTGGGATCAAAAATTAATGGCGGGCTGGGGATGTTTTTGGGGGTCGGCTGGGAATTAATTCTCTGGGGGGACGGAAATTCTTTGGAGCTCGGAGGGATTTTATTGGACACTTTTAATTGGAGTGGAGGGGAAGGGCGGCAGAGAAAAGGAAAGGGGGAAGGAATTTTTTGGACGGAATTAAGGGGGAGAAAAGAAGCAGCTGGCGGCGCACGGAATTTCTTTGGGAATTGGAACAACTGCAGCGAACGACGAGGAGGAGCACAGCGACTGGAGCATATCACTAGTACCGCGAATCAGAAGAGAGAATCAGATTTTGTGCTTCTATTCGTATTAGTATTTTCTCTCCTTTTCGTTACTAGCATTATGATGAACAAGAACATTATTGTGTGTTTTATTTTCGTCATGAACTAAACCCCGATTTCTGGGGGGAAACACCATAGGATGTAGCTATTTCTATATTTGATGGATTGATTCATATATCTTTTCTTCCAATCTCTATTGCATGAAATTACGTAATGCTTTGTGTTGACTGGCCACCAATACAACGATTTGTAGTTAATTATGTTATTAGCGACAGTGAAACCCTAATAACTGAACATATTTCATGTGACATAGTAACTTATCTAAGCGACAGTGGATTATATAAGGGGCTATGCGGTCTTAAATAGGATATCGATCTTCAGACTAAATAATTAAGTCATTGAGCTACGACAGTAGGATTTGGTTTAATAGTTTAGTACGTAGTAATTCCCCACAGGGATAGCTAGCACACTAGTGATATCCTGGCTAAAGAGATATGGATTAAACTGATTGGAATATGTGAATTAATTTGGATATGATAGGTAGCGAGTCCCAGTGTTTCTCCCAGAGCTTTCTCCCATTGAGTTTCTCCCGCCAAGTTTACTTTGCTTAATTAGTTTAGTTATTTTGCTATTAGTTAATAATCTCATCAACCAAACCATTTTTTTCACCGATAGTTTGCTCCGCGGAATTGATAAATTATAAGGTTGTACCAGTCCCTGAGAGACGATTCCCGGATTTCCGGTTTTACTACAAGATAGGAGTTGGCATTACGCTTTTCCCCTATCAAGTTTTTGGCGCCGTTGTCGGGGAATGCCATACCTTATTTTTGTTGATTTTTGTGAGTGAACTATTTTGATATGGGTGTTAGTGTGCATAAGAATTTTCAGGTTTATCTTCCTCGTGCATGCCAAGGAGGATGACTGGCAATTTACTGCCACTAGATCCGGAGATCGAGAAGACCTGCCGTCAGAACAAGAAGCAGGTCAAGTTAGGGAAGCAGCCAACCACAACTAATAGGCCTTCCATAACCCAGAGAGGGCAGGCTTCATCACTTGTCGTCCCTACACCACCGACACCACCACCACCACCTCGTGACATTGAGCCAGACATCATGGCAAACGAGGATCGATCAATCATGGCTCGTTTGAATCGAAGGACTGGAGCCCGAGCTTCATGTGTTGTCATTCCGGCTGGGGATGCAACCATGGAAATTACTCCAGTATTCATCAATATGATCACCAATGGGTACACGTTCTCAGGGGCTAGCACTGAGAATCCTCATGAACATCTCCGCCGGTTCGCGAGCATTTGTGAAACGATGAAGAGCCCAACTGCGTCTGATGATGCAATCCGTCTTCGGATGTTCTCATTTTCTCTACTAGGGAATGCACCACACTGGTTCCAGAACTTAACACCCCGTTCCATCACGACATGGGGTCAGCTTGAGAAGACCTTTTTGGATAAGTACTTTCCTCCTGCCAAGTCAATGAAGAGGCAAGAGGAAATTGACACTTTTAAACAGGCTGATGATGAGAGTCTGACTGAGGCATGGGAGCGCTATAAGGGGCTATTGATGAGATGCCCAAGCCACGGCCTTGAAGATTGGAACGTGATCATTATTTTCTTCAATGGAATCAGAAGGGAGTTTCGGGATGCCCTAAATAATGCTTCTCAAAATGGTTTCACAAGAATGGAGGCTCCAGGAGCATATGAACTGGTAGAGAAGATCTGTTCCGAAGCCACTGAATGGGGTAGTGAGACCAGTATTCGAAGAAGAGGAGGCTTGCATGAGATAAACAGAATTGCGATTCTAGAAGACAAGATAGATGCCAAGCTGGATTCTAAGTTCGATGCACTCGAACGAATGCTGGCCAAGATTGCTCTGGGTAGACAAGAGGATGTTGTTTTATGTGAACTTTGCGAGGGTCCTCATCATAGGGATATGTGTCCACTGGGAGCTGCTCGGTTGGAAGATGTCCAGTATATCAATAATCCGCGAAGTCAAGGCCAGGGTGGTATATATTCAAATACATACAATCCTCAATGGAGGCATCACCCCAACATGTCATGGTCGAATAATAATCCAGCTGGTGTCCAAAACATCCCACCTCCCGGTTTTCAGCAGCAGCAGCCTCAACCAGAGAAGAAGCCCCAGCTGGAGGAGTTGATTTTGGCTCATATGCAGAAAACAGACAATAATTTCAAGGGTCTTGATCAATTTGTCACTCAACAGCTAGCCATCAACAATAATATGCAATCATCTGCGCTAGCTATGGAGAGGTAAATAGGCCAGATGGCTCAAACTTTGGCAGATATTCAAGGTAGGATTCCCGGGACTTTACCAGCAAATACTGAGAGGAATCCGAAGGACACCATGGTTGTAGCTGTCACATTAAGGAGTGGGAAGGAGTTGGAGAATCCAAAGAGCAAGAAAAATCAAATAGAAAAGGAGGGCAAAGTAGCTGCAGAGGAAGAAAGTGCAAAAGCTGAAAAATCTGACTTGCACAGGAAGACTGCATGCAATCTGCCTGTGCATGAGCATTCTGCCTGTGCAACTCCAAAGGTGGAAAAATTCAAGAATGAAGAGGTAAAGCCTTATGAACATCCCGCGCCATTCCCTCAAAGGTTAATGAAGCCCATGGAAGACCCAAACTTCAAGAAATTTGTGAATCTCTTCAAGCAACTTCAGATCAACATACCACTGGCGGAGGCACTTGAACAGATGCCTACGTATGCTAAATTCTTAAAGGAGTTGCTGACAAAGAAGCGCAAATGGGCTGTCTAGAGAAGGTAACCCTTACTTCTGAATGTAGTGTTGTGATTCAGAATAAATTACCAGAAAAGAGGGATGATCCGGGCAGTTTCACCATTCCCTGTGTCATTGGAGGTACAGAGTTCGATAAATCACTTTGTGATCTTGGAGCAGGAATTAATTTGATGTCATACTCAGTCTACAAGAAATTGGGATTGGGAGATGTTCTTAAGCCTCTCGGATCACTCTCCAATTGGCTGATCGATCAGTGAAAATTCCAAAAGGAATGGTGGAGAATGTATTGGTGAAGGTGGGGAAGTTTATTCTCCCTACAGATTTTGTGATTCTGGAGATGGAAGAAGATCGGGGAGTGCCTCTAATTCTTGGGAGACCTTTTCTAGCCACTGCAATGCACTCATCGATGTTGGGAGAGGCAAGTTGACATTCCGAGTAGGTAAGGAGGAAGAAATTTTTAATGTCTTTCAAGTTGATCATAATCACGATGCATTTGATGACTTCGAAAGTGGAGCTCGAGAAAGGAAAAATTCATTCTCCTGTGATAGTGGACAACCTGAAGAACCATCACATGTCCTATCTGCTCAGATTCTGAAATCAAAGCAAGGATAGAAATCCTTGCCAGATCACCTCAAGTATAGATATTTGGGTAAGGATTTCAATCTTCCTGTTATTATTCCTTCTTCACTGACATTGAAACAGGAAGAGTACTTGCTTGAGGCGCTGCAGTACCACATGCGCCTCACTAAGGGGTCGAACATGCAAGCTAAGAAGGTCATACCCAATTTTCGCACACCTGACCCTGCAGAGGTGACTCATATATTGGATGGAGGTTATGCGTTCTATCATTGCTCGGGAGGGTATTCTGGATACCTTTCCATACCCATTGGTAAAAAGCTCCATGAACGTCAGGCTGAGGACGTTAAACAAGCGCTTCTTGGGAGGCAACCCAAGGTAAGTTTTCTTTTGTTTATTTTTCTTTTTAGTTGTGTCAAACCCGTGCATGTTTAGATTAGGAGTTGAACATTAGGGACATTGTTCCATCCTGAGTGTGGGGGTGGTGAGTCTTAGTATTTGTTTGTCCCTGATGCATGTGGTAAAAAAAACTGTCATTTGGGTTGTGCACAGCCAAACTGCATGCAGTCTACCTGTGCTGGTGCAGTCTGCCTGTGCTTGAATGCCTTGAAAATTGAAAACAAAACCTTGTACTCGTGTGGTAACATGATGTAAATGACCGCGATGCCTTGAAAATGAGTTTGTGCTTGAATGAAATCATCAAAATCACCCCACTAGTGTTGAATTGCATAGTTCTTCACAATGAGCTTGAATGTTTTTACTGACTTGATATGCTTTGAATGAGCAAACTCTTTTAGAAACATTCTCTTTTGTGAGGATAGTGTAATGACTTTTGGTTAAGTAGTTAGGTGGAGAACATTGACCATTCGACATGTTTGGATACCGTGCTTACTTGCATATATTGTGAGTTGTTGACTTTGCAATGAGTCTCTATGTTTTAAAAGGTTTTATGATGGGTGAACTGTATCTTTAAAAATGAGAAAATCCTACCTGACAAGTAAAATATAAGAAAGTTGCCATAACAATTAAAGTGCGGGTAA